TCTGACCCTAATTAGGAGAATTGGAAACGTCTTAAGGGGTTGAATTTTCTCAAAACACACTGTTTATTTCTAAGTCTACGTGTGGGCGTGTGAATGATTGAGTGGGAACACCAGATGTGTGTGGAAATATGACATGTGGAACCGATGAGGAAGATCCATTCCAACACATAGATAAAAAGGATACCCATTAGTCATTAAATCCACCCCGAAACCCATTATCAGTCGTCTCCTGTGATTAGGATTACCCGTCACCACCCCCGCAAGTCCTTTTAGTCAGTATGGATTCTGGCACAGAAATCATAAACCCATAAATTATAGTTTTTAAAATATGGAGAACCGATATACGTTCACGGACGTACCATAATAAAATTGTCAAGTGCATAGTCAAGTATAAGTCGATGTTTCAAGTTGTTTATTCAAATTTCAGACTTTTTAGATTTCAGTAAGTAAGGAGAAAAGGTATACAAGGAGTGTAACGTTGCAGTAATTGTTTTCTGAGAACATGTTTCTAAGATATTTCTAGTAGCTAGAACATAGGACATAGGCTGATTATAATACATCAGTTTTACGATTAGAATTGATTTTAAAATTGTAAATACTTATATGCATGGATACTCGGTATGTATGTGTGTGCCTGAGTCTGGTATTCTATAAGCTCCTCCCTCCATTGGTTTTCTGAAAGACATGACCCTTTGCTATCTCTTGGGTGAGTCCTCCTGGGAACTCACCCCTGCCCTCAAGTGCGCGCTCGGGTCTGCTTATGGGCGAAGCTGCGAACTCACCCCAACCCTCAAGTGTGTGCTCATATCTGCTTGTGCGCGTAAGTGTGGAAATTTATGAGATGGATTGGTAGAGTTAGGGATTATTTCCATTTAACAGGTTTATTTAGGGGTGCAGCTCATTCTAAATGTAACTTGGAGTATAGACTATGTAAATTATACTAGTGTTTTTCCATAATTTTTCTAAATATTTAGAGAGGGTCTATATTGAGACCCCCAATTACCGAAATTTTCGCCTTTTTAGGGTAGTAGTGAGCACTTGGGGAAAACGGAATGAATTACGATCGTAATGTAATGATCTTGGACTCCTATGACCTATAACCGAAATATAGGAATTGGAAAGCATTTTGTCTGAATTCTCTGGATCTGCGGATGCTGCTCTAAGACATAAGACTGTTTGTAGCGGAAAAGTCTTCAGGCCGCCGGAATTACACAAGCGAACTCTGGAGTTTACCCAATACCGCAAGCAGCTTGAGGTTCCGTTCGTCGTGTATGCCGACTTTGAATGTGTACTGGAGACCAGAAATATTGATGTAATCCCAAAATTATTCAATTTAAACTCTCATATACCAAAAGCTTATGCTTATTATATAATATTAAGTGTGCCTTTTATTCCAAGTTAGATAAATTTGCAATAAAAACAGGTAGTATCGCAGGATTAATTAATTGTCATATTTGTAAAAAAATATTATTAAATGATAGAGTTAGGGATCATTGCCATTTAACAGGCTCATTTAAGCTCATTCTAAATGTAACTTGTATAGCAGGGTTTTTCAATAATTTTTCTAAATATGATTGTCATTTATTTATTGAAGACTTGGCTAATATTCTTGATAGTATTAATGCAATCCCAGTAAATAAAGAACAATATATTTCGGTGTCCAAAACCATAAAAACTTCAAATGGAAAAATTTTTTACATTAGATTTCTTGACACATTCAGATTTATGCCATCAAGTTTAGATACACTTGCTTCTAATTTAATTGATGATCAGTTAAATACAATAAAAACATTTTTTAAAAATGAAATAGAATTCAGGCTTATGCGTAAAAAGGGTATCTTTCCTTATGAATATTTAGATTCAGCTAGTCGACTTGAGGAAACTTCCCTACCATCAAGAGCAGCATTCTACAGTAACTTGACAGAAAAGGAATGCTCTCAAGATGATTATGAACACGCACATAATGTCTGATCACAATTTTCTTGTTCAAGTCTAAATGATTATCTAGAGTTGTATTTAAAAACTGATGTTTTCCTATTGACTGATATATTTGAAAATTTTAGACAAATATGTTTACAAATTTATTCATTACACCCTCAGTTGCTCAGTCTTTTACTACACTAGGTCTATCTTGGGCAGCCATGTTAAAGACCACAAATATTCAACTAGAGTTATTAGTAGATATCGATATGTATAGATTTATTCAAAATAGCATTCGAGGGGGCTTAGTACAATGTTGCCATAGATATACAAAGGCAAATAACAAATACTTAACAGATTAACAGATTTTGATCCAACAAAGGAATCATCATTTTTAATGTATTTGGATGCAAACAATTTATATGGTAGGGCAATGTCACAACCTCTTCCATATAAAGGGTTTGAATGGTTGTCCCCTAATGACTTAAAAAATTTTGATATACATAACATATCTTTTGATAGTGGGTACGGATATTTTTTGGAAGTAGACCTAATTTACCCCTATCGCCAACATGATACACATAATGATCTTCCGCTTTGTCCGTCAAACAGTTTTGCATCTGAAGAGGATAAAGTTAAAAAATTAATAGCTGACCACGGGAACAAAAAAAGTATGTATTCCATTATAGAAATTTGCAGCAATGCATACAAAATGGGTTAATATTAGAAAAGATTCATAGGGGGGTTAGATTTTTGCAAAAACCTTGGCTAAAGACTTATATTGACTTAAATACTTTACATAGACAGAATGTCAAGAATAAATTTGAAAAAGATTTTGTATTTGGGTTTTGCTGTATTGGACTTATCAAAGTGGAAAATGTATGATTTTCATTACCAATACATGAAACACAAATTTCAAGAAAATTTGGTTTTAAATTACATGGATAGAGACTTATCTATACTATAAAAACTGACGATTTTTATAAGGATATTCGTGGTGATATTGAATCAAAGTTTGATACATCCGATTATTCAGATAGAAGAATCGATTTATATAATTTTAAAAAAGTTAATAAAAAGAGGTTGGGATATTTTAAAGATGAGTTGAATGGAAAACCGATGAGTAAATTTTTGATTATTTTTTGGTCTATTGGTAACTCTTTAACTCTGTACCAAGTTTTGTATAGTTATAAAATTTAGATGAAGTTTTTTGAAAAATAGGAACAAAGGATTTGGTTTCTTGGCCAAAAAAAAAACCATAATAATGCTCAGCCACCATATTACCGATTGGCCCCATGTGACTTTTTTTTGTTCCCAGAAACTGAAGATAATCGAAAATTTGAAAATTTGAAATTTGAAGTCACCTTACTTTTGAACACACTGTATAACTTTAAAAGGTTTCGTAATCGAAAATTTGAAATTATTGAAGATCCTTCTTTTGACAATAAATTTATAGTTATAAAATAGATGAAGTTGAACAATTAAAGTAAGAATGATGTGATTCAATGGAACTCCATTATAAGATATCCTATATTGTTAGTAGGACAATGTTTAGATCAAGGGCACACAAAATATCAACAAATAGGGTATATAAGAATGTGCTTTATACTAATGATAGTAGAAGAAAGCGTAAACATAATGAAACAGAGTTTGCAATGTCAAATCACGATGATCATGGTACCATATCAATAAAACATAATAGGTTAATGGAAAAGGACATTGTGGATAGTATCAATTTCTTAGAACTTGAAAATATATTCTTAAGAGATATAATAAATGGGAGAGGTACAGATGTCAATACATTAAATGAACTTAGAGATAAGCAAGTAAACATAGAACAAGAATTATTTTATAAGTCCATTGAATTGGAAATGTTTTATTTTGATCGAAATTGTGGTAAATATAAGTAAAACAAAATAAATTGTAAAAAACATATATTATTTTATTAAAATTGTTAGTATACACATTATAAACTTGTACATTTATACATATGTAAATATATTTATTAAATTTAATTACATGTTATAATATATATATATATATATATATATTTGTACTATACAATTTCATCTTTATTTACCCAGCTGGCTTCGTCCATTGGAAAGCCAAGCCATTTTATCAAAACTTTATCACCTCTTCGCTTTAAAATTTTCTCAACTAGAAATGTGTTCGGGAATTCAGTCTTTTGAGTTCTTCTTTATAAAACCCACCCTGAATCGGATTACCTTTATAATCTTCAAGTAAGTATGTTTTGACTTTTGTAATTTTAAACATTTCTGTCGAATAATTCTGTGTATACCCTTTTTCAAACACATGTTTATACTTGCTGATACGAACGTGATCGGCATTTCGTAGTTTATTCTCAACATATATCTTTCTGTGATTATATGTGTTGTAATATTTGTTTTTCATTAGTTGTGTTGACACTGATTGGGCTCATTTTTATGGTTCTATGTAACCTATTATTGTAATTAAATATTAACTTTTTGTAAATATCTATCCACTAATATTTCTCACTGAAACATAACTCTCGCCACATTGACTCTTTGAGTGTTCTCCTAAAACGCTCGAAAATTGATGCCTTATGAGTGCTGAACTTCGAATTATGATATATGATTTATTAATTAATTGTTTAAATTTTGTATTCAAAAACTCTTTTCCATCATCTGTTTGTAAATTTTTTGGTGTTCCATGACCTTATTTTAAGATTTTCTCCATTGCTTGGTGACGCCGACAGAAAGAGATCCCCTGGGAGTTGCCTTTAACGTTGCTTAGCCAACACCGAAACAAGAAAGCCAGTCTTGTAGCGTAGAACAATAGCATAAACAAACGACGATGTTTTATTCTGTATGAAATACATATATCAGATTTAACCTATTTTCACAATCAGTTTTACATACCAGTCTCTTTGATCTCTCCAATCGGAATAAATCTGAGCGGGAGATTCTGGCTTACAATTCACCATTTCGTGTGACCGCATTTAGCTTTACAATATGATCTCTCTAACGATTTACAACATCGATAACAAATACTGAAATACTTGGCGCTACATTTAAATTTACTAAACCTTGAGCGATATGTTAATCCGTTCCACGACATCCCCACCCCGGTGAAGCAACTGCATTCACCACATCCAGGATGGCCAATCTGGAGATGGGACGCATGATTAACTTAGCTCGATCGCCATTGGTAGTGCGTACCGCCGCTCGTCGTGGTACTCCATCCGCTCCCTGGGTACACTTCCTCCACGACGCCTTTCCTCCATTCTCGACGAGGGATGGCCGGATCACAGATGTACACGAGATTCCCTGGGCGCATAGGCTCGACATGCTCGCACCATTTCTCCCTGCGAACAAGCGTCGGTAGATACTCATGTACCCAACGTTTCCAAAATCTGTCTCTCATCATCCGTGCGATACGCCACTGCTTCCTAGTAGCGCACTTGACAGGCTGCTCTCCGCGATCTCCAGGAAGGTCCGGAACATTAGCCACTCCTCTTAGCAGATCGTTGGGCGTTAGCGGTGCCTCCTGATCCACAGTGACTGGAAGGTGGGTAAGCGGACGAGAATTAACAATATTCTCCGCCTCAATAAGAAAGCTCTCCAAGACGTGTTCCTTAGGAGCCACCTCCTTCACAGTATGCGCGAGCACCTTCTTCACACATTGGACCATCCTTTCCCAGATGCCGCCGGCAGCTGGGTTCGCGGGACAGTTAAAGATCCATTCGATTCCTTTGGATGACAGCTCATCCTGGATCTTTTCTGGTTCGAAGACTTCATCGAACTTTCTGGCCTCACGATCTGCTCCAATAAAGTTCTTTCCATTGTCGCTCCTCAATCTGACCACCGGTCCACGGCGGCACATAAAATTCCTCATAGCGATGATGCAGGAATCTGTTGACAAATCGTGGGCTATCTCCAGGTGGACAGCCCTGGTGGTTAGACAAGTAAAGAGTGCGACCCACCTCTTCTCAGTGCGACGTCCAATCGTCACAAACAGCGGACCAAAGTAGTCCAAGCCAGTATACTTGAATGGCCATCCATTCGGCTCCAGCCGGTCCTCTGGCAACGGACCCATCAATGGCGGAATTGGTCGTACTCTCCGGAGTTTGCATAAGTTACAGGTTGCCATAACACTCCGTAAAACTCTCCTTAAATTGGTTATCCAGAACCTGGTCCGGATCTCGCTTATGGTCGCGTCTAGATTCTGGTGCTTCATCTTCCTGTGGTAGTGACGAACTATCATCTCTGCCAGTGCGTGTTTGTGCGACAGTATGATCGGGCGCCGTGCGTTGAATGGGACGCATTCGGCGGCATCAATCCGTCCACGCGCTCGTATGATTCCATCGTGGTCGACGTAAGGGGATAGTCCTCGTAACTGACTGCCTTTCGCCACTGCCTTTCCTTGAACTTCATCTGCGAACGTATCAGCCTGGGCGCGCTGGATCAGTTTCCGTTCTGCCTCCGCGCACTCAGTAGCTGTAATACCGTAGGCCTCACTCTCGTCACTCAATCCACGGCACCGTCGTATGAACCTGAGGATCCACGCTGTGGTCCTGACCAATCGATTATAATTCGAAAATCTCTGCAAAAATATAAACTCGTTGGCAATTACCAGTGTAAACTCACACGGCATCTCTTCTTCTGCGGAGTGTGGACTGTCGCGATCACTTGGAGATGGCTTGGGCCACTGTTCTTCCGACTCCCGCAGAAATGATGGCCCGCTCATCCACCTTGCCCCTTGGCTGAGGTCCACATGGCGCTGTGGCCTCGTCGCGTCATCTGCCACGTTTTCGGCAGACGGTATCCACCTCCATTGAGACACCTCCGTTGACTCTAAGATCTCCGCCACCCGGTTTCCAACGAACTGCTTATACCGCCGGTGGGTGCTGCTTATCCAGTGCAGCACGGTCTTAGAGTCAGTCCATAGCACGCATCTGCTGATCGATACGTCGTGCTCTCGTCTTACGGTGTCCATCAGCCTGGTTCCTAATACAGCTGCTTGGAGCTCCAGGCGCGGGATCGTCATCGTCTTCATCGGGGCGCATTTCGTTTTGGAACACACGAAATAGGACCGCACATCATCGTTGTCATAAGTCGCCCTCCAGAATGCAACTGCTGCGAACGCCGATTGGCTGGAGTCCACAAACACATGTAGCTGCAGTTCACGTACGCATCCCGTGCCAAAGTAGTAGCGTGGACAGCGGAAATCTCTCACGTAATCCATTTCCAGCCTCCAGCTCTCAAACGCTTTGGCTAACTCATCCGGCAACGGCTCGTCCCACTGAACTCCTCTCCGCCAAATCTCACGCATCAATAGTTTGGCGGTTACCATGAAGCAGCTCAAGAATCCTATCGGGTCAAATGTTGACATAACCAGACTTAGGAATTCTCTCTTGGTGGGTGCACGTTCTCCGGTCATCACGCTGCTGGGAACCCTGTGGTACTTTACGCTGAATTTAAAGTCATCCGTCGCTGGGTGCCAGTACATGCCTAATATTTTCTCCTCCGCTTCATTCCATTCAACGTTCTTATTGGATCCTAGTGGGTTCAAAGCCTTGACCACACTTTCCGAACTTGATGAGAAGCGGCACAAATCGAAACCGGCCTCAGCATGAATTTTCCTTACTCGTTCTGATACAGCGATAGCTTCTTTCTCGTCCGAGAAACTATCCACGTAGTCATCTACATAGTGATACTCATTGATGGCCTGAACCGCGCGAGGATCTGCTTGGGCGTATCTTGAAGCGTTTATGGTCTTCACATGATGCGCTGAGCACGGCGAACAAGCGGCTCCGAACGTCATCACAACCATTTCGAACAGATCTGGATCTCGCCGGTCATCTCCATTCCTCCACAGGAATCTCTGGGCGCATCTATCCTGGGGCTGTATCAGCACCTGATGAAACATCTCCTTTATGTCTGCGCAGACCCCGACTGCTCCTTCCCGGAAATGGAAGAGCACGGCTGGCAGGGACTTGAACTGTTGTGGGCCTTTGAGTAGAACTGAGTTCAAAGATGTATTGCCCACTTTGGCTGCGGCATCGAAGACTAGACGGATCTTTCCGGGCTTGTTTGGGTTCTCGACCCCGAAGTGCGGCAGGTACCAGATCTTGTCCCGGTTATCGGCTGCCACTTCCTGCTGCTCCAGGCGTCGTGCGTAACCCTTGTTGACGTAGTCCTCCATGATCGACTTGTAGGCCCGTGCAAAGCTGTCATCCCGTCTCATCTTCCTTTCAATGCCGACAAGTCTTTTGAGTGCCATGTTATAGCTGTCAGGCAGGCTCACTTTATCATCTTTCCACAGCAATCCAGTTTGGTATCGTTCGCCCACTCGCCTAGTCGTCTCGTTCAGGATTCCCAAAGCCCGTGCGTCGCCACTAGCTGCGACTGGTGGCGCCGGCTTCACTCCGAAATTCTCTATTTCGAAATAGTCGCTGACCATCTTCTCGAGATGATCATACTGTGGGACGGCTAGGAGGCACGATCTTTGCATTGGTGAACTCATCTGACTTCTTACAGGACCAAAAACCACCCATCCTAGCTTGGTGGCGGCTGCATAGGGTCCTCCTGCTCCGAAGCTCCTGTTTTGCATAGGTATTCCTAGGTGCGCATGGTCTAGTCCGATTAAAATCCTCGGGACCGCATTACGATACGGTTTCATCGGCAGGCGTGCAGAAGCCTTCGCCGCTTTGACATCTTCCCGACGCAGACTTTGCATCGGAAGATTGAGGTTAGAGACCGCATACACATTTTTCAAAGCATGGCGTTTCGGTCTGCCCGCTTCACTAATCTGGAGGCTGACCATCTTTGTGTTCTCTTTCGCTGACTTGCCACCGAACCATTGAATGTTGAGCTGCCGACTCTCGCCTTTTAGGTTTAGGCTTCGAGTGAGCTCCTCGTCGATCAGGGTCACGGACGAACCTTCGTCGAACAGCGCGTAGGTATCCAGCTGCGTATCCTCCCCGTACAGCGTCACGGGCAAAATACGGAATAGTAAGTGTCCTCCATCCGGATCGACGCAACTTAGGTTCCGATGTGGCAATCCATTCCCGTCACTTGGCTGACGGCCTTCGTCCCGCTTGCGCCATGCATCCTGCGTCTGTGCAGATGCCGTAAGTGGACTTCTCTGGGCCAGATCATCTGGCTGATGTACTTGCTTGTCCACCTTCCTCCTGTCAGCGCCCGCATGTACCATGCGACCGCGATCGCTCCTTTCATTTGGCCATGGTCGACCGTGGGGTTGCGATGGCCGTGTGGGGTTGCCCACCCCGTCATGCAGGAGGTAGTGATGCCCCATCTGGCATCCGTAGACGTTGCACTTGCTGTTTCTCTTGCAGAACCTGGACATGTGACCGCTCTCCAGGCACGAGAAACAAATCCGATGCTTTCTTACATACTCCATACGGGCAGTCGGAGTAGCGTGGTTGAAATCCTTACAGTCCTTGATAGTGTGTTGCCCCTCGCAAATTGGGCAACTCCTGGGATGATCTTCAAATAGATCCTGATCCTTCTGACTGGTGCTGGCGTGCAATACCCTACGCTTAGGATCCTTGCTGTCGCTGCTCGTAATAGTGCACACTAATTTAGCGAGTTCGTTTAGCCATTCGCTCAAGTGCGCGACAGTTGGGTAGCACCCTATTACGGCGGCGTGCCTGGCCCAATCCAACCTTTTGCTCAGTGGTAGCTTGGCGATCAGCTCTTCCATCAATGTAGGATTTCCTAGGTGCTGCTCCCCGTTCGGGCTTGACTGTAAAAACGCTGCGAGATTGCTGACCCGTGTTGCAAACGGCACGATCTTTATTATATTGTGTTCTTGGATCGGCTGCACCTCTCGCACGCTTTCCAGTTGGTACGTATCAGTTGCTCCGGGCGTCCATATCGGAAACGTAGCTGATCCATTACAGCCTGAACGTTATTCGGGTGTATAAGCAGCGACTTGACAGATGCTCGCGCTTCACCCTTCAGGGCTTTCACTAGCCTCTGGTTGTTCTCCAACGCAGTACAATTATACGCCGCCGTCGTCTCCGTGAACGCGCATTGGAATATTGGCCATTCCTCAGGCTGACCTTCGAACTCTGGAAGATCAGGCAGTCTGCGCGGCGTCCATCCAATTAACGGGCTCGGCGAAGCTATTCCGTATGAACCAGTTGATTGCGGGGGTACCATCAGGTTGCGAAGAGGTTCCCGCGTAGCTTGCATGTAGCTTAGTGCTGGCTGCACAGTAGCCGTCACGCAGCATGGTGTGGAATAGCTTAACGTTGTACTGTTTGTACTGAGTGTGACTTGTTGCCCTATTGCCAGATTTCCACTCGATTGTGGCGGCAGGTTTCCACTCAATAATGGCGGCAACTGTTCATGTAAAAATGGCGTCCACTCAACAATGGCGGCAGATTTCCACTCAAGTTCTGCCCTGGCGTTCCGCTCAAACATGGCGGCGCATTCGCCGCACCGCTCGCTCCTATACCGCTTGATCCGTTTCTAACGGGATCCCTCGCGGCTGCATCTTGCCCTTCACCTGACCTCGCCTTTTGAAGCTCCCTTTCCAAGGTAGCTTTCCTCTCCATCAGCGCCGCAAACTTGGCGGTTGTGGTGTCCGTATCCTGGCCTGATCTATCAGGCTTTGGAGCACCACTTGGGATTAATCCCGGTTGCTTTGGAGTCCGTGGCCGCTGCAGCTCACCGCCCGATAAGCCCGGCACATTCTTCGGACTGCCGGCTGATGTGGTCGCGGTGGTCGTAGTTGCAGTTGCGGGAGCTCCCGTCTGTCCAATTCGGGGGCTCCGCCGGGGTGAATGTGAAGTCGGCATTGCACGATAAAGGAGTGCGAATAAAAGAAATGACGCCGACCGAAAGAGATCCCCTGGGAGTTGCCTTTAACGTTGCTTAGCCAACACCGAAACAAGAAAGCCAGTCTTGTAGCGTAGAACAATAGCATAAACAAACGACGATGTTTTATTCTGTATGAAATACATATATCAGATTTAACCTATTTTCACAATCAGTTTTACATACCGCAGTCTCGCCTCCCAGTCTCTTTGATCTCTCCAATCGGAATAAATCTGAGCGGGAGATTCTGGCTTACAATTCACCATTTCGTGTGACCGCATTTAGCTTTACAATATGATCTCTCTAACGATTTACAACATCGATAACAAATACTGAAATACTTGGCGCTACATTTAAATTTACTAAACCTTGAGCGATATGTTAATCCGTTCCACGACACTTGGGAAACATCATTGGCATTATTTGATTGTAGTGCTTCAACCCAATCAAATTTAGAAAACGTATCAATTACATATAATAAGTAACGATAACCCTTGTTAGATGTTGAATAACCCGCCATTTCAACCAAATCTGCTTGCCACAGATCGTTTATTCCCTTCGTAATGACTCGTCTTCGTTGAAAATGTTTACGAGACGGTCCGTGCAACTCATTTACAATTGCTCGTTTAATCATATTCTTCGAATTGGTGTATAGGCTACACCTCCCATTTCAATTGTTGTATTTTTTGTATCGCTGTCGGTTTTGTTACATACTTAAAAATATAGTCCTCAATAACTTTTATCTTTTCAAGAACTTTCTCAAATATTTGATCAGTACTGTCTGCTCTCTTGTTATAGACTTCTATTTTACTTTCAAGATTTGATACCTTTTTAAGTCGACGATTGATACTTTGACTTTCATGTTTTTTTAGGTCTTCCCCCAACTTTCTGACACACTCATCTGTATATTGTTTTGTGGTCAAGTCATTATCATCTAAGGGTTTAATAGCGTTTTAACTCTTTTATTTTAAGCGTTTAGTATCAATTAAAAATTTCAATATCAGTATCAATTAAAAAAGTTTCATTTAATTTAACACCTCTTTTTAAATGATCTGATCGCTCCCTATCATTAGAAAAATGTCCAAACTTGTCAACAGACATGATGATTATAAATAAAAATATTTTCTGTGTTTAATATATATACTCTAATTAAACAATAATTCCCTCCTCTCGCAGTTCCTCTACTATTGAGAAAATCTCATTATTGTGATTGTTGTTACCCACTGTTTTTGACGCCACTTAAATTTGTAACCGTTCGACTAGTTCATTCACATCATTCCAATATATATAATTTGGTTTTGATCCCTCCAGAGTCATATAACAGAAACCAGTTTTCGTACGAAGTGGATTGGATGTTGTATTATCCTTTATTATTATTTAATAAATCATTATTCGAATCACTATCATTCATAGATCGGTACTGAGATAAGTTTCGTTTTGTCTGATGTTGTCTCCCATTGGTTGTATAGTACAGATCAACGTCATCTGTCATATCATTCTCATACTTTTCATTTTCGTATAATTTACGTTTAACCTTGGCTCCCACATTTGTTTTTAAAAATGTCTGCTTTTTATTTTCGTTAATAAGTTCATGTAAAGGTTCTGTAATAGGTATAAATGTATAATTTTTATGTAATCGCTCTTCAGTTCCTCGATATATACTGTTTACTGGAAACCATAGCTTCTAATATTTATATATAGATTTTAAAATTGTATTTATTCAACGGAATATAAAATATTGGGGTTTTATTTATTTATTTTTTTTTATTTTATTTAATTATTTCTAAAAATAAATTGTCATTCTTTTTATGAATATTAATTTTCCCATCAAACATTTCCGCAATAAATTCCTCCCGAAGATGTGTATACCTTTCCGGGGTGTATAGAAAGTAGGCCTCCAACTCCAGAACAAAGGATTTTCCAATCTTTTTGCACTCCGCCGTGAAGATGGGAACTTTACATTTTCAGGCATCCTTGCCTTTGACAAAATAGATTTCTTATTACATCTATTGAATTCTTGAATATATTCTTGTCGGAATAACAGGTGTCTTCCTATTATCCTCGTCAGTAGGATCGAATTCCCCTTCTGTAGTCGTCTCGTTTTTATAGTTGTTGTTCTTTATGTTCATTTTTATATATATATATTGTTTTTGTTGTTTAGCAGTCGTTTTATATTGCTTAGGTGTTTTTTGTTTAGAAAATGTAATTTATTGTTTGGTTGTTTAGGTTGTTTTTTATTGTTTTAATTGGTTGTTTTTTGTTGTTTAGCAGTTGTTTTTTGTTGTTTAGCAGTTGATTTTTGGTCACTTGTTCAACGTCTGTTGTCGAAACTTGCTTTTTCACCAAGAGTACTGTCTGGTGCTTTTACACGTGACCAAGCGTTGTCAGTTAATATAGAATCTGCAATGTGACGTTCATGTAAATCTTTTTTATGGGAATATGCTATATCGTGTTCTTTACAAGCCTCATTTAGTTTATTTATTCCTTGATCACCTCGTTTCAAACGTTTTTCTAGCTGTGTACCCGGCCCACTACATTTATATCCTGGTATATGAGCTTCAAACGGTAATATATTAATGAAGTTGTTGATAAGACCACAACCTCGTTTACAATTAAAAAAAGAGGAAACGCTATAGTCGAGTGCCGCGACTATAAGATACCCGTTACTGTTTTACATAATTTTAAAATATTCATTTTGCTTGTGGAATATGACAAGGCGCCACCTATTGTCAGAGGAAGCATGTTGAGTAATTGATAGTGACGTCACAAACCATGTAAGGCCTCATAACCTAATTTTCTTCATAAATAGCGAAATAATGTTCCGATTAAAAAAATCTTTGGTAGATCGATAGATATTAACAGAAATAAGTTATACAAGGTCAAACGAAGGTATTCATAATAATATTATAGACTCTACAGTTTTCCGCGGCTTGTGAGCGTTAGAGTGGGCGTACCCGGATGGAACCTTGTGACAAGTTGCAGTGACATCTCTCAAATACGCGTAAGCCTAACTTTCTTGCTGTTATAGGCCCCGAGATGTTCGCAGTTTTGTTTTTTCGGGCTTTTTGGGTGTTAGAGTGGGCGTGGGTTGATCGGAAAAAACAATTCGCATTGGGAGCATCATAAAAACCTACATGCTTAATCCGAACTTTCTATCTCTTATAGTTACGGAGATATAAGCTTTTCAAGAAAATGCGAAAACCGTCTTTTGAGCTTGGTGGGCATATGGGTGGATGTGGCCGGAAAATCGTACCACTATAAGATGCGCTAGCATACTGAATTTCAACTTTTTAGATATACCAGTTCCTGAGATTTCAGCGATTTTAGCTTCTCACGATTTATGGGCGTTAGAGTGGGCGAGGCAGGATGTTGAAATAAACTTGCTCTGAATATGGACCTCAAGAATCTTTGTGGTTAATCTCTACTTTGTATCTCTACTAGATCCTGAGATCTCAGCGTTCATACGGACAGACGGACAGACGCACAGACGGACATGGCTCATTCGACTTCGCTATTGATCCTGATCAAGAATATATATACTTTATAGGGTCGGAAACGCATCCTTCCTTCCTACTTTTTAACGAATCAAGTATACCCTTTTACTGTACGAGTAACGGGTATAAATAACATATTTAATCATCAAAGATTTTTTATCGAATGAGGTACATAAGCTTTAAGAATACGTTATAAGTCAAAAGCAAAAAATTGTCATTAGTAATATCAACGATGAAAACGAGAAAAAAACCCCCCACTTCATAGTTCTCTCTTACCTAATTCAATAACAGCTCTTATTGTTGGATCTTCAGATTGTGGTAAAACCAACATTATGCTCAGTTTGATAAAGAGTCCAAGCCGATTTAAAATTTGAAAATATTTACGTGTTTTCTAAGAGCTTATATCAACCTAAATATGTGTACTTGGAAAAATTAATAAAACTTATTAAAGGAATGGGATATCATACTTTCTCTCATAACGATGGTGTATTAGACCCCAGTGAAGCCAAAAATAATTATATTCCTGTATTTGATGATGTAGCTTGTGAAAAACAAGACAACATAAGATCTTATTTTTGTATGGGTCGTCATAAGAATATTGATTCCTTTAATTGATTCGTGACAATGCTTTATTATAATGTTTAAGCAAGAGGATTTAAATATGCGACATATATATAAAGATTACATTAATAAAAATATGGGGTACTACACATTCGTGGAAACCGTGGAAATCTTGCTTATAAGATAAGATGGAAAAAAAATCTTGCTTATAAGATAAGATGGAAGATATAGAAAAGACTTTGATCAGATTATTTTGATTTAAAAAAGTTATTGGATTTAGTATAAAAATAGATTTAAAACAAGAGGAAACGCTATAGTCGAGTGGCGCGACTATGAGATACCCGTTAATGTTTTACAAAATTTTAAAATATTATTTTGCTAGTGGAAATTCACAAGGAGCCACCTATTGTCAGAGGAAGTATATTGAGTATGCTTATAGTGACATCACTGCCCATGTGAGGCCTTATAACCCTAATTTCTTTATAAATAGCTAACATGAATTCGGTATTAATGTTCCTCCTGGCTATAAAATGGATGTGACACCACATAATATTATTTACTTGCCAATCAACTGTTATGAATTAAGCACACTCTCCATACGCATCGTAGATAAAAACGGAGATTTAGTAAATTTACGTGGTGAAAACGTTTCGATTCGGATGCATATTCGCATGATAGAATAGAAGAGGATCTCCTCTAAAAAGAAAATCACTTACTTTAAAAAATATATTATTTTCTCTCTCGGCTTCAAACTTCAAGATTAATAAAGATATACTGAGAGAAAACAATGAACAAAATTTTAAATGTTCGAGAAAAAGTTTAGTCAAATAAAAGTATTTCGAAAAAAAAGTTTCATACCTATTCGTCGTATAATCAGAAAAATAATTGTATGGCTTTCTTCTTGGATGAAATCAAGTATGAAAAAAATAGATGCCAGATTAATAGAACTCGATTTGTCGGTATGACAAAAACTTTTAAAAATGTTATATCACTTGGTAACCTTGAAAGTCAAAATCTATCAAATTCTGGATGGAGTGGTGGAGATGACTATTCTACTGGACCTCACTTTAACTTTTCTGTCCCATTAAAAAATTTATTGGGGTTTGCTGAAGATTATAAAAAGGTTTTGTTGAATTGTAAACATGAACTTGTGCTAATGCTAACCAAAAACCTAGATGATGTCTTTAAAAAAAAGAGATTGGAACAAACATTTAAATTAGAAATGACCAATGTAAGTTGGAAAATTCCTGATATGACTCCTAGTGACATTGCAAAAATTAAGATGTATGATATTAGTTTGTCAAAAAAGTCTTGCGGCATTTTTTTTTTATTTTCAAT